GTTCAATTATTTGAATTTAAGTTGATTCTGTTACTTATCTAACTATACCAAGATATTGGCAAGCCAATAAACTTTTTCTTCAGTCACTAGTAGTAGGAATATTGATTGGTTTACTATTTTTGATGTTGTTGGCGTGTTTGATAGTCTTTCTTTCTGCCTCTGTTGCAAAGAATTCCCCGAATTTGTTGGCTACTTCTTTTGTTCCAGACATTTTATTATTCCTCATATATGAGACTAGTACTATGTTGCTATATCGCTGCTGTTCTAATGTTTTGACAGAGTCAGAATCAACGAACTTAGGCGTGCGCAGCTTTATAGAACAGTGCTTGGAAAAAATTGTTCTACAGCGCCATCTAGTGGCGAGTTACAGGAAAATTTATAGCCTAAAAACCTTCTCTATGAAAAATTACTTATACATGTCAAGTTTCATCACGATCGATTAAGCGATGTAGAAGTTTATCACTTACCAACCAACCAACCAACAAANTTTTTTCGTCCTAATTCCTCATTTATCAACTGCTTAATTTTTTTATGTTTGTTTTCAGCGTTTTCAATTCTGTTTTGGTTAAAGTTTGCTTTTTGTTTTTATTTCCTGTATTCTTTTTCTTTATTTTGCATTGTGTCTCAATATTCACATTTTTTGTTTGTTTAACTAGGTCATAGAGTTCTTTGAGCTGTTCTTTGTTTTGCTTCATTTAGCTGGTGATCCAGTTCCATCTCTGTTTGCCTTGTTTGATCTGTTTTATCAGGCAAGCTAAGTGGAGATACTATTGGACCGTTTGTAGGAACTGATCAAATGCCTTGTCAAGGTCTGCTTCAAGTAGATCGTCCCATTTTTCTTTGCTCAGGTATGTTCTCAGTTGATTCACGTTATTCTCGCAGGTGTTTCTCTTTTCTATAATATGTGGTAGGCTCTTTTGTCCCTGAATTGTAGTTTGAATTTTCATTACTATCATGTGATTATCAGATATAAACTGTAATAATAATGATTTTGCCTTTTTCTGCACAAATCTCTGTAGCACAGCATTCAACGTGAGTTTCCACAGCAAAATTCTTCACGTTCAAGTCCCTGCATGTCATTCCATTTTTGATTTACATTGCACAGCCTCCATGAATATGTGCCTCTCAGCAGAAATAAGCGCCTAGTTCGTAGTTTGGTAGTGACATCTTATTTATTCCATTCTTTGTTACCCACGTTTCAGTAAAGCACAATATATCTGGAATAATTTCTATTGCTAGTACATCTATTGTGTTTAGTTTATTGGCAATGTTTTGTACATTCAAGTGATAGATGCAAGTATGTGATTTTCTATTTCTTGTAATATTTTTGTTACATCCGATGAGGGGAGGGATTCAAAATTGTCTCTTTTTGTATTTCTGTGCTTTCTTGATTGACCGGTTTACCTTTGTTTTCATAGGTTTTCTGGTTTTCCAAAATTGGTCCATTTCTTTTGATGATATCTTTAGTTTTGTTAGCTGTGACTGAGGTTCTTTTCTTTATTATATGATCATAGATATGTTTCAATAGTATACATTTCCCTTTGTTTTTAAGTTTTGTTGTTTTTATTGCAGTCCATGTATCTAACTCTATGTTCAGCAATGACACAACAAGACTATATTTGTTAATTTTGTTGTTCGATAATACTGTTAAAGATAGGTTTATTTCTTTTGAAGGCAGCTGCTACTATTACTAGGTAAGTGTTTTGAGACCGATTTACTAGGTTCTTGAGAGCTTGTTGTTTTTCCTTTACAGGCATTTTCAGTGGCAGTAAATATAATTTTATAATCTTGTTTGTTGAGGTTTTTTGACAGTATATCATGTTCCCCAATAATGTTGAAGTGAAGATTTTCCATGTATTATGACTGTCATTTCAACCAAGGAATAAGATTCGATGATTCCTTTTTTGGGTTCGAGGTCTTATATACGATGTGTTTGTGTTTGGAGTTGAATTGTTATTTCTTTCAACACATATCCTACAGCTTTTTTCCTTTTCCTTTTTTATTGTATCTTGGATATTTTCTAGCTGTATTTTAAGATCGGCATTTTTTTGGTGGTTTTGTTTGTATAAGTCTACTCCAATCAGCATAAATCAAGAGTCTTTATAGAATAAAAATGATACTGAAGATTGTTGAAACATACGAAGCCCTGCAGATGATATATCTGCAGAAGACCTCCAAAATATTTGGATGACTATGATCGTTCTCGAAAAGTTGGGGAAAATGTGATGAAAATCATAAATATTTATTCCATCCTGATACTAATTCTAGAAATCATAGTTGTCATGTTGTATACCGTTGATTAAAGCCAATTTCTAGTTAAATCTACTCATAACAGCCAATGAGGAGACTTGACAAGTTAGATGGCTTCCAACAAGTGAGAAAAGCAAGCAAGCAGAGGTGCTAGTTGATGCGTATAGTAGTGGGAATGAAAATGCATGCATGCTTACCATGTACATACAAGTGTGAACTAGCAGTTCGCTTAAACAGTCATTTGGTTAACCAACAATTGAATATTTGATGCACTACTTCACTTCAAAATATTGAGCACTTGCGTCAAGTTGTGTGAACATCTATTTATAACACGTCCTAAATCACTGAAACACTTTAGTATGTATCTTTGCAAACGGCTCAGAACTATTAAGATCATTAGAAATAAACTCCATAGTACTAGTTATTAAAACAATTTTTCTGAGACTTATCATTAAAAATTTTATCAGGCTGATGGTCTTGGAAGAAAAAACTTGAATCATAGAACAATGAGTATTCAACATCCTTTAATTGATATTAAATGAAATTCCAATTGAAAAAATGCTCTAGTGGTATGAAAGTAAATTTTGAAAATATACTCAATCATCTAGAAAAAACATCTTAAACTAAGATTTCATACAAATGATAAAATGAATTTTCAAATGACCAATGTATCCACTTTTTTTAAAGTATTTCAGTCATTCCATTTTTTGAATTCCATGCCATCTGGTGGTTTGACTTGAACTTTTTCTTTGGATATTTCTGACCAATTAGTACTCAGAACTGTGCCACCACTTTCCATCTGGAAATTGAGACTCTTTAGCATGTTTTTAAAGATATGTATATGAGAGACCTTACATAACTTTTGTTCATTGCTCTTTTAACTTCATCGCTGCCTTTACCATATATTTCCTGGAACAATTTGTTTATTGCCTCTTCACCTTCAGGTTTTTCTTGAGCTTCTTGTTGTATGATCTCTTTTTCAACCACAGACCAATCTTTTCCCTTCTTTGAAGTTGGATATGATGGTGGTCTATCAGCTAGAGTCACAGGACCTAGAAATAAACGAATCTCAGACTTCTCCCAAAAAAAAGATTTAATAAATACCTGATGGAATAGTCTTAATAACTTCCCCTGATGGGTTTCCTTCAAGTTTTTCCCATCTAATGTCTTCAGATTTTTTTAATTTGATTTCCACCTGAAATCAATGAAATATAGACCCATTTCAAAATAAAATAAATAAACTCACTTTAGTTGATGATAATTTGTAGCTACATTGCTCTGGTATAATTATGTGCGACAGGTTGAAGCATAATTCACAATGTTCAAAATCAGGGTGTGAAAGAGCTACCATCACTTTATTATTATCAAAACTCACATTCAGATAGCTTTCCCGCATGTTTTTAACTAATACAGTGATAACCACAGCTGTTTCAGTCTGATACCAGTCATGTTTCACTTGTAGTTTGGGCTGAAGTGCAGAACACAATTATTATTTATAAAATACTATTAAATAAAATCACAACTCCTAACCTTATTCAGACTAGTGCTTGGTTCCTCAGCCATATTCGAGGCGAAAACGTAAGTCACAATTGAATAAGAACGGTTCTTAAAACATATCCCCTGAAATATTAAAATAAATAATGAAATTATTTAGTTCCATACACTACAAACTCAAACTTGTACTATTTTTGAAGTTTTCTGTGGTAATATTATGTTTATATTTTGTTATGTCATCTGTGAACATAATCCATCTCTCTCATTTCCTCAAATCATCTTGCCAAGTAAACTATCAGCGGCGGTCCCGTGAAAAGGGATTTCATTTCGCTTATAAATATGTTGAAAATATCACGATTCAATTATAAAAATGAAACTTATAATGAATAAATACATTCAGTCGAAAAGACATATATATTACTTGAGATGAATATTAACAAAAATGAAAATTTCATAATTTGGATTATTGATGTAATTGAGATGTATAAACCTGAGAAAAAGACTGAACCCCTGTTGATTTTAAAATGAATACTTTTATTTCAAATGAGAAAACGTTACAATCGTTTTAAATACGTTTCAATTTATTGTTTTGAAGTATTATGGTACTATTTGATTTAGAGATCTGAGACGAAATGCGTCTTCAAAAATGTGGTAACTATGCTTATTAGTTTAAATACACTTAATACAATAAAGATGTATTGTTAATAATGTTAATCTTAATCTTAGGCAAGAAAACAATCAGGTTTTTTTAAATTGATCCTGTTATCCGACCAACCTTTTTTCAGAAAAATTTTCTTACATCTTATATCAACAGTGTATCTTAATTTGTATCCACTTTTATAATAACTCTGTGTATATTAATTGACCATTGAAGTTTTTCTAGGAAATATCTTATATTTTCAAGTATTCACAAGAAATTATTTATAATTATTATCACAAAAATTAATTACATTAAAACCCTTGGTTACCATACAAAAGTATATGTATAATATACAAGGTGTTTTCATAATTGAAAGTTGATACTGAAGGGCGATAATCCTTGGATGATTCTAAGAGAAATTCTTCATATGAACATAGGTCCGCAACCACTTCATTGCTGAGATACAGGATGTTGAAATTTAACAAAAAATCATTTCTCCTTTGATATCTTTGAAAACGCTTTGACTTCTTTTCAATTTTGATACATGCAAAGTACATGGTATAGGTTCATCTGTGGCGTCCCTGTTAACATGCTCTGCCAGATTTTTCATCAAAATCGTTATACGCCACTGTGTTTTTTCCAAATAAATATTATTTTTGTAATTGCCTTCTATCTTCTCATAGAAATTGTCTCTCCTGCCTTTTTTCGCAAGGCGAATTGTTGTTGAGATAGAAAATAAAATGCATTCATTTGCTTGTCTATATTCGAATTTTCCTCTCATTCTTGTGTAACAATTGTCGTAACCAAAGAATCTACGTTTATTGACTGACACTCTTATATTAACGTACAGCCGTAGCTACTGAACCTAGAATCTTGAAATATGCAGAAATTTCCACCCCCAAAGAGAAAAATAGAGGTTCAAAGATTGTATTGAATTTCGTCTGTTTTGAAGTTGGAAACCTGGAGTTTTGGGGTAATAAAAAAATTTGTAAATATTTGTTTGAAATGGTCTGTCACGAAACTTAATGTGACAAACCAAATTCTACGCGGGCGAAGCCGTGGGCAACAGCTAGTAATTTATATTTTTACAGTATCTAATAAAATATGCCAACTGCACTAAGTAATGAATATCTTCGAAAATCGAATTACATTACCTATAAAGAAATTTCTCAAAACTAACAACCGTCAACGATATCTGCCCTCACGTGTCAGCCCGCGTTCGTGTGGCGTTCTCGGCGGTGGAGCTTCATTGCTTAAACTGCCCCTTCAACCCCGCGCATCGTACCCCGTCGTTATCGAGATAACTTTTAAACGATTTGTCCAAATTACTTAGTGTAGAAGACAAAGTTCATCTATATTAAATACTTGAAACGACAATTGTACCAATTTTCATAAGAATTTGATAGATATTCTGAAATGGACATTGTGAAAAAAAATATCCAATTCAATTGTATTTGTGGTTGAGTATTTTGCATATAGTGGCTACCACATAAGAGGTAGATATATGCAACACGGACTTTTATTTAGAACTATTTAGGATAAACAATCTTACGGTAAATTATCTCTGCTTCATGTAACTCCAACGGTATAAGCAGCGCACGCCAAAATAGCTCTCAGGGACCAAGAGTATTTCCGACTTACTCAATACTTATCGTAATATTATCACCAAAATAACACAAAACCTTTGTGAATTATACGCTTTTCTGATGTATAAGCTACATTTATGTAATGTTTAATCTAAATCTGTTCAGTCGTTTAGGCTTGAAAAAGCCACAAACATATATACATATGATGATTATGATTATAGAAGTATAAAATGGGCTACCGCACCTCTGTGTTCTTGTTCATTCGCCGACTCTTGTCTCGAAGCCAAACTAAATGTTTCAGACTGAAAGATGAACGCTATCACGAGTATTGCCATTTTCTTATTCTTCTAACTCCGCTTTATGTAACTCTTCTTCCATCTGAAGCAAATGTGAGCTATTTTTTATTTATTTCTGTTTCAATTCCAGATTTCTACGTTGTTTTTCTATTTCTATAGCTNCAAATCAATTCTATTCTAATATACCACGTCCTTAAAAAACACATTTGAAAAAACTACACTGAGAATCATAATGCATTTGTAAAAAATATTGATGAAAGTACATAATCAATTTCGCTTTTGATTGCTCTCATAAAAAAATTCAAAAAGCTATTCATAAGAAAATACTCGAATAACTTGTTAATCAAAGTTCATTTAATACATATTTTGATTACGTTCCAAAACTATTCTAATAATGCTTTTTTCCTCTTCTATACCACGATTAGAAAGCATGCGCATTCTCTCATATTTTACAAATAAATTGTGCGCATGCCTGCATGCCTACTCAATTTTTTAAACTTCAAAGCCTATACTAGACCCTATACTACTCTATCCGTAATAAAATTACCTACATTTTAATAAATATATTAATCAAATAGTCAACAGATGAGTGCAATTACTAATATTAATTTACCTGTTTATACAAGTAATAGGGAACAGAAAAGGGAAGCTACCATTGAACTGCATATTGCGTATGTTGTGTACTTGCGATTAGACTATGAATCGTTTGGCAACCAAAAGTGAAATTTGAAAAAAAAATATTTTTTATAATTTCAATTATTCATTACCCTTATTTTTTTACTACAACCCTATTGGCATACGTTAACAGACATATTAATTTGTTAAAATATAATTTTCACCTGGTAATCAAATTGGTAAAGGTCGATCTTACTTGGGATCCATACTTGGGATTATTACTTGTGATAAGATGTACTAAAATGCAATGTGCCACCATGTTAATGTCTTTAATAATTCTCAAAAATAAAAAATATATCAGAAATCTAAAGTACAGATACTGATTCCCCTTTTATAGAACGTCACTGGTAAACAAAACATGACAGTGACATTTGTCACTGTCAAGAAGCCAATTTCTGGAATGACAGTCCACAGCCAATCAAAAATAAGAGAAAACAATAGGCTTTTTCATCCCAATTTTTTGTGTGCGCATGCGTCAGTATTAGCCATCTTTCGTACTGTTTTTTGTAAACAACCATGATAAAGAGCCCGCAACCCATGTTTCAAAAACTAAAATGTAAATTGAAGTTTAATAATTGTAAAAAAGTGAAAAAAAAGTAGTAAATCAAAATAATCAGAAAAAATTTTTTATACTCCATTATAATTGTATCTGTACGAAAAGGAACAACAAAACAGTGTTGTTATGGAGTATGTAAAAGCGATACACGATACAAATCATTCAAAACCAACACATACTATTTTATAAATCCCAAAGCCTTGTCTTGANAATTTTTTTTTCCACATAGTTGCTAATTCCAAATATTTTTCATTTCATATTTAGAAGAAACAATACGCAACTTCCGAAAACATTTGTTTATTATGACTCCGTTCGTCGAGCTGAATCAGAAAATACATATGGTTCAAAAGTTTACATCTGTGGTTTCTCCATCTCTGATTTTTTTGAAAATTGTTCATCTCTCAGTATTGTTCAAAAGATGCCTTCATGATTTTTTTCAATTTTTTTGTATCGACTCGTTTTCGAGATATTGATTTTTGAGAAAATTCGAGATGTTTTTCGTCAAACGTCCATAACTCTGTGAAAAATACACCACATTGGACGTTTCTACGCATTTGTTATAAAATATGTCAACTTTTTTTTTAATTTTCAGAATTGAGTATAAGTTGTTGATTTGCGAAAAACATGTACTAAACTCAAAAAATGTTCACTTGTTCAACGACGCGACGGGTGAAGACGTGCAATCGCTCAACGATGAGAGATGCAAGACTAGAGGGCCTGTACATGCTCAGTGTTCACAGAAACAGAGTTGAGTGGGATACTGAATTTATTGACAAGGTGATGAACAAATTTGGACACCACGCCTTCAGGTATTATTCAAATCGTAACTCAATACACTAATGAATTTCTTTTTGCCTTTGACTTCGTTGATTTCTCATAAATATTATATAGCCTATGTCACTCGCACGGTCTTCACGAATCTAATAACGACAAGTCGTTTGCTAAAATCAGACGAGCTGTTAGGGCCGTAGCACGTACTATCACGTACTATCGAAATGCCAATAAATACATGCATACATACAAACATACATACATATATACATACACCCAAAAAGCATTACCCCTGCTGGTTCAGTCGGGTAAAAAATATGTAATTTTTTCTATTTACTTTCTTTCCGCTGCCGGCTCCCATGGCTTGAGGAAACTATTGAAAAAAACACGTGTTGGGTTTTATGAACTATTTAGTGAACATTTTACAATGAAATGTTATTTGAATAAAAGTATAGTTTTATTACAAATATGATGTCCAAGGTTGACAGTTTCCCGATTGGTAGATTAAGTGAAATTATTGTTGGTGGTAAAAAACTGCCTGAATTGCTGACATGTTTTCCGATGACGGAAACAGTTGAAATACTTTTAACTTTATCCGATGAATTTACTTTCGAAACACAAACATACAAAACGCACTAGTATTTCTAAAATGCCACAACTCAAAAATCGGTATATTTGAGTTGAGACTATGAAAAAATTGGTAAATATTTCTGTATCAAGTTGTATTAACTGTATCAAGTTGTATTAACATCCAAACTGTATCAACTTGATATAGTTCAGATGATACTGTATCAACTTGATACAGTTTATATGATCGATAAAAAAATATTTATCGATTTTTTTCATATTGATTTTTGAGTTGTGTCCCTTTAGAAATACTAGTGCGAAAAGATTTCACTATTTTCTGACTAGAATTTATGGGTAGGTATTCCATTTGTTTTCATAGTAAGTAGATATTATTTTATATAAAGAAAGTATTGTTATGATCCTTAGCAATAAATCAGATGAGGTGAGCCACGTTGTAACTCAGTCTATTGGCCGCGTCACCGCATACATGCGAACTTTATTTATTGGCGGACTTTAGCATAGATATTCTTTCACTCAACCAAGCACACAATCAGTTGACAAATGTGTTTGACAATATTTTTATCGTATAACATATTGTCATACAAAAACAGAGAACAATAGGTACAGACATAGCATATCGTTTCAAATTTTTTTCTTTCACTGTCTACTGGAAATGATTTCTTTGTTTTCATTTCCAGATGGAAATTATGATTTGATTTTTCTATAATCAAAGTACATATTGTGACTAGAGTTGCTGCCTGGTGAGAAAATTAGCGTTCATATAATTGTAAAGAATGTTTGGAAATTGTGAGAAAATGGACAATGAGATGGATGTTTCTGTCATGTATGAGGTTTTTGCGTACAAATGTATCCATCAGACATGAATGATTCAGACATTTTCAACGAAATCTGTCGATTTATTGGTTCAGAGAGAAAACTGAAAATGGTAAATGGATTGTATCATTGCTCAAGTACGACCCTTCTCGGGCCCACAAAATCTCATCTAAGCTACGTGTTATTGATTATGAGAATGTAATTCATCGTTATTCAGATGAAGAATTCAAAAGTCATTTCAGGTATATGATTTTCTATCACAAATAACACTGTAGATTTTGAAAGTGTCATGTCTAATCGCACACCTTGATTATAATCTAAACTTATGCTACTCCTAAATTTCTTGTTGATATCTTCAAGCTTTCAATGTCATATTTCAAAAACAATTTCAAAAATTGCTCCAAAATATTCTCATCGTCCACTTATCATCTCTTCATATGGGTCGTTGTGAACTTGTCGTGAGCGAAAATAATGACGTCATGAGTGAAGTTTTTGTCTCGAACTTAACGACCGCGGTCGTTATTTGGAACGGTTAAAGGGGTACATTGATCGTTATGAGCGCTTAGTTGAACGCACGGATCGATTCATATAGATGTAAGTACATATTTGTAAATGTCACCGTTTTTTCCCTATTCTGTAATTGGGTTCATCCTGCAGAATAGTGTATGAAATAAATAAATAAACTATGGTTTGTTATTTTGGAACCCTTAAAAAAGTTATATGAAAAGAATATAAAAATAATGGAAAAATACTTGTTTCGTGGTAAACGAACACCCAGACAATATTTAGAAAAAAAATGATAGGTAGATGTCAAACGTTGACTTAACCTGAAAAATATTTGAAATAGACGACAAAAGCTGCGCAAACGCCTAGACCTTTCGAGGCCGGTTTTGTGTGACTGCGACAGATATGATGTTGGCTTGACTTTGTTAACATAACTCTTAAGGCAATGGCCCTACATAGTACAGTCATAGTATTCCATAGTGTGATTATGTGACATTGTTGCCAGAATGCGGGATTTTTCAGGAATTTCAGGTTTTTGCTTTCGAGTTTTTTGTGTGCGTTCTCGTCTCCAAGCAAGTATTTTATAATAATTTCCACTTGAAAATTATTTTAGAGAATTGTTTTATTCAGATTCTTTCAAGACAAAAGAGGAGTTGAGGGTTGAGTGCCCTGAAGTAGGAGCTTCCCCCCTCATTTGTTAGCGAGGAGAACCTACTACCCCACTGCTTCTACCCCCGCTCGGTCCTCAACTTACTGCTGGGTACTTCAGCAAGATTGACATTTATCCTCATTTTGGTAGAAAGTCAGCCTTCAGGTGCTTTTACCTTCTTATCGAATTATTATTTTATCTCTCTATTCCTAACTGAATTTAAGCATGGGGGCCCCCAAAAACTAACCGGCGGCTTCACTTTAAATGTCGGGCGTTTTGGTTGGTTGGTGAACAACCAAGGAAAAAAACACTTAATTAAAATAACTGCGTAAACGCAAGCGAGACATAAGTGGAACCACCTATTGGTGTGACACCCAAGTCAACTTGCCAAGTTTTTATGTCAGGCTGAAACAGCTGTCTATCGGTGGCTCTTAAATTGAAATCAATGTGGGAAAGATTGGAAAAGTACAAAAAAGTTTATTTTGATACTTACACAAGTAAAACTATCAGGAAAGAAAGGTTTTGGCTTTCTAATTCCCCAACTTTATACGAAAAATGTGGGAATCTTCCAAACAAAGGAAGAAAACAAGTCGTTTCAAAATATCATCTTCACAAAGATGTGTATCTAGATCATGCAAAGAAGTAACTTTCAGACACAAACTGAAAGAACAAGCCCTCTTGAAACAATTACTTTTATATAAACATATTTTTCTATTCAGTTTGTGTTTCAAACATTTTTTTTATGGAATTGAATAAGATATCATTCACAGGGTTACTACACAATCCTTAGTGGTGAACACCCGATGTTTATAGGAATAAGACACTTACCTCATTGCCTGTTCAGCACCAATCTGGATAGCATTACAAGATGAAGCACTCAATTCATTCATAAAATTACCATTGAGGATGACAGTGTTCCAAGTTAGTGAAATTTTACCTCTTTCATATACTTTATTGTATAGCAATCTTGTGGATGATATCTAATTGAATACCATAACGAATGTTTAGAATACAAACTGAATATAGAAAAAAGTGTTTGTATTCAATGTTCATGTGAACATAGTTGTTTCGAAAGTATTTTTTTCATCGTGTAATTCAATGTTTATATGAAAGTAGTTGTTTCGAAAATGCTTTTTCTTCCAGTTTGTGTCTAAAAGTTACTTCTTTGCATGATAATGTATACATCTTTATCAAGAGTTTTTTGAATTGACTTGATTTCTTTCTTTCTGGGGAATATTCCCATTTTTTTTGTATGAATATGGATAAGTAGAAAGCCAAAAACCATTCTTTCCCAAAAATTATCCTCTTCAAAAAAGTATAACTCTTTCAATTGAAACTATTAGGATTTTTAATAAAACAGGTGCGTCTGTGTAAAATGCGGTTATTTTCAAACTTTTTATTAAGTCGCGGGTATTTTTAGTCAGGGCTGTGCTTTTTCACTGATCCATCTTTGGCAACACTGCTGCATGAGTTCATGGTGTGGTTTTGTTATTTGTTGGTTTATAATCTTAAATTTTTTTATGGTTACTCATATTCAGCTATCGTACGATTTCTTGAAGATATAGACCTTTAAATTTGAAGAAATTATACAATTCACAGCTTCTTTCTGGTGAGTTGAGGTTTTGTTTTATAATTTTTCAAAGTGATTTTTATTTGGCTCTTTTGAAAGTTTTTAACATCCTTTGTCTGCAGTTTTTTAAATTTGACGTATACAGTTTTCGACTTCATTGCTTTTTGCAAAACTATAGTTGTCCATTAGTTTGATAAGAACTCTACTGATTGTTTAATGGTTCCTGCACCAAACTTTTACTTTAAGTAAGTTGTCACAGTGTAACTCAATGGAAGCCTTCATACACCACACTTAAGAGGTGTATGAATGTTTCTACTTTCTCAAAGTAAAAAATGAAGAAAAAGTTTGGTACCTATATGAACCAGCCATTTATGTTCAAAGGTTAAATACATTGAAAAATACGTTTCATTGATATGAGATGGAATTGGCCTATACTTGATGAAAATCCATACTAATAATAATAATAATAATTTTATTATTCACTAGTACACCATGGTGTCCCGAGAAGTCTCTCATAGGATAATCTTGTGAACTTGTCGTGAGCGAAAATAATGACGTCATGAGTGAAGTTTTTGTCTCGAACTTAACGACCGCGGTCGTTATTTGGAACGGTTAAAGGGAAAGCATTACATAATATTATGAATTCATTACAAATTATTCACAATCTATAAGTCATGGTAATATTCAAAAGTAATATATAACAATGTTGAACAAATTCAAACAAGAAAAGGGAATTGAAATTCAAATTATCTTATGACATCTCGAAGTCATTCACTTCGTAATAAGCATTCCTCAACAAAATTTTCTATTAGTTTCTTTTTGAATAATTCTAGGTGCCTATCTCTCAATTCAATTATCAATTTATCAATTTATCAAAAAATCTTACTCGTAAGTAATTGCGACTAGTACTTACTAATTTATGTTGCGGAATCAGCAGGTTGTTTGTATTTCGCATGTTATAATTAGGATTATCACTAAGTGTCGGATATTTATTGATATTTTTCTTTAGGTAAACCAAGTCAGTATATACGAGGTCTGTTCAAAAAATGAGGTGAATTTTCTTTATTTTTTTTTTAATTTATCCATCATTTTCTATTTTGACCCCTTCAAAGTAGTCTTAGATATGAGACATTTGTGCCAGCGTTTACCAATGCTTGATGCAGTTGGGAAAAAAAAAAGGTGTAGGGAGACAAATCTGATAAATACGGTGGCTGAGGCATGATTAAGGTGTTGTTTTTGGCCAAAAAATTACGAACACGCAATGATAAATGAGCAGGTGTATTATTGTGATGCAAAAACCAAGGTTTGTTCCACAATACTGGACGTTTTCTTCGTATTGCTTCTTGCAAGCGGTGCATGACTTCAAGGATAATACTCCCTATTGAATGTTTGACCACGTGGCAAAAACTAATGCACTATGCCACGGTAATGGAAGAAAACAGTGAGTAAAACCTTGACATTTGATCGAACTCGGCGTTCTTTTTTTGTTTTGGCTCTCCTGGGCTCTTCCATTGGGATGATTAGACATTGGTGGTCGATGTCATAACCACATACCTATGATTCGTCACAAGTTATGACCCTTTGGGGATCGCTGTTGACGTCATTCAACAATTGCTGAGCGATGCTGTTACCACACTCTTCGTTCCTTAAATTTACAAAAAAGTTGCATGGCATCAGCCAACTGATATGCTGATATCCTCAGTAACTTCTCTAATAGTGTATAGTTGATTCTCCATCACAATTTTCTTCACTTATTCAACATTTATCATCGGTTGTTGATGTGCTGAGGTGTCTAGGGTGAGCGTCGTCATTCACATCTTCTCGACATTATGTCTGACTCAAAGTACAATCACCGTATGCCACTGTCAACATTTCAAGTGTTTCTGAGCACTTAATTCTATTTTTTACACAAAATTTGCTGCAAATTCTTTGATTCATTTTTTCGATATCAGAAAATCGCCGAACACGCAAAACACTTTTATAACTTTTATGTCTCTCACATTCAAAACAGCTGAAACTGTGAACATATGTTCGAAACGAGTGTACCAACATGAAAAAAAAAGGCTAATCGACTGTACGTAGCCCGCGAAATTTGAACATTCACCATATTTTTTGAACAGACCTCGTATGACTGACGAAGGTACTGTCAGAATACCCAGCTTCATAAACCATTGCTTGACATATACAAGTAATACTTTATTAAGAGATGCTCACTGAACAGTTTACAAAACTGCAACAATAGTTTACTTAGGCATGTTCATACTGAATAAAAGGTGAAACTGGATCCTCTGACGTAGAGTTATTCCAAAATAAGCACTTTTCCCAAATAAGAGACGTGCAATGCTCTACTGAATGCGCGTTTCACCAACCAAGGAGATGAAGTAAGTACTTCACCTCCTGAAGACGCCTACTTGGTTGGTGAAACACGTCGAGTAGAATGGTGCAGTTTTATTTGGAAACAGTGCCTTTTGTTTTCATACTGTTAGTATGAACAATTCTGAAAAAAGATGTTTATAGTGAAACACTTATTGCTGTTTTGTAAGTTATAGAGTGAAAATATCACAATTAAGTGTTATTTGAATACATTTTATCAGTTCATTTACAACACAAACAACTAACACAAATGTTTGATTCAGTGAAGATAAAAGAGCAAGATGAATGACTTGGACAAGCAACTGGCCAAATTGGCTTTGATGAATAGGGCTGACCTACCTCCTAATTACCCACAATCATCCTCTGGAAGGAGAGCAGCTCCGGCGGTTCCTCCAAAACCAAAGAAAAACCAACCTCAGGTAATATAATACTTTTATAAACTTTCAAACTTCTCTAATGAATAAACTTTCAGGTACCTCAGTCTTATCCTCTGAAACAATCAGTCGAGCCTAGCTATTCTTCACGTTTACGAACAAATCAATTCTATTCTAATATACCACCTCCAAGCCCCCAATCACACTATTCAAACATGCCTACACTTCCTTCGAACACAAAATTTTCATCTTCAAGACAGGTGGATAGTACCTACGCTAACTTACCAACCGATAGTGATCAGGCAAGTCAGTATTCTAATCTTCCAAGAAGCGTATCTGCAATGAGTAATGTTTCTAATTTATCCAGACAAGGTGAGGCCCATTTTTTACAGCATCTTATTGTGAAACATATAAAATATATATTATTTCATTATATACACTGATGAACAATTCTACTTTCTATATATGAAAAGTGTTTGTATAGTCTATACGAAGTCAATCCGAACATGTGAATAAAAAAACTAATGTATTGTGTCTGATAAATATACTAGTTAATATCATATAAAACCACCTATTTAAAAATAATGATTAATTCTCATATGAATTCACCAAGCCGAGTTTTTATGCCATTAGAACTGACTTTGAATATACTAGAATAGATTTTCCCTCTCTGAGAATTATTGGTCTATTCAATTCTTTCTTCATTTACCGACTTGCCATTTTACAATAATCATATAATAAGTGTAAGAGAAAAATGAACAATTGAACAATAATATAGAATACCAAGAATACAAAATATCAATTAATTATTAATTTTAGTAGGTAAATTCATTCAATCTTATTTTTGAAAGAATATAAGGATGAATCATATAAATCAATTCTTATTTGGTAGCCTAAGCATTCTAGTAATGGATTCATTCAGGCCATAGCTAGTAGAATGGTAAGGAACTTTAAACAATAAATTTATGGATGTAGCCGTTACTACGTGGTAGGAAATCATAATGAAGAAAAGAGAAATGAAACTTTCTATGTTTTTCACCACTTTTATTTGTAACTAACATTACTGCAGTTTCGTCCTATACGGACATTTTCAAACTTATACAATAAGCTCATTATATAAGTTTCTCCCTATGTTTTTTACTACTTTTATTTGTAACTAATGTTACTGTAGTTTCGTCCTATACGGACATTTTCAAACTTATACAATAAGCTTATTGTATGAATCTGTGCAAAATTTAACTTACCCTTCATATTTGTTTTATTTAAAAAAAATTGATTTCAAGGGAGAGAAAACTCAGAAATGTGCAAAACGATTAAAGAATGTTAGTATGTTATATTTCAACGTATACTTTTTTTGCAAGGAAATTATGGATCCATTTCTTCACAAGTTCCCAGTGTTTACAGTTCCAAGCAGGATTCTTTACCAAGGCAAACTATGGGCCCAAAAGGTTATTCTAAACATGGTCAAGTCACTTACGGCAATGTCCAGGTGAGTTTTTGCTGTAGTTATTACTTCATTCATAAATCAACTACATTTCAGCAATCTAGAAACAAAGATGATCTAAGGTATAGCAACTTAATGCACGCCTCTAGAGAAGGACCCAATGTTTATAGTAATTTCTCACAAAAGAGTGGCGCTTATCCTCATGGTGGTGAGTACACGAGAATTTTTTTATTTGAGGACTTGGGTAATTATTTATGAATATGCTTAGAACAATTATATAGTTTTCCAATAGTTTGCCAGAAGAAAGTTCATAAAACTAATATGTCAACATTTATTATCAGCAATATTTTCATGGCCTTCATGTATTTATTGTTTGTATTGAAATATATTCTATTCAGAGTTATTATTCAACTATCTCAAAAAATGCTGTGTACTCCCTCCAAAATATATCATGATGAAATAGAAGGCATTATCTGCAGATAATATCTTATGTCCCTCTGTTTAACTTCTCATAGTTTTCATCTTATCCAGATGTTCTTTGTTCAGATATGACAAAACAAGTACCTCAAGTGCTTAGGAGAACCCTTGGGATAATGAAGGATAACTGTTACAATAATGTATGTTTATCTATTATATCGAATTGAAAATAAAATTGAACTGAAAAAATCAAATTTGAACAAAGAATTAATGGCCCCTGTATATAAAAATGTAGGTTGTTTTAAATGTTGTGTCACCAGTTTTTACATTTTTTCATAAATTTGATAAAAAAAATTTAATTTCCTTTTTTTTGTCACATGACCTATAAAGTTTTTGTAAGTTCAAATGTACGGTCTTTTTTTTTCTGTTAAGTAGAGTTATGGAATTAAATGAGAAAAACGCATAACTGGAGTTATTAATGAGTAGCTATTTATATTGGCAAATAATTTCGTATATGTAAACATTCTAAAATAGAGGAACATAGAGACATTATATCATCAAGATAATCTCCTGTAACTCCCCTTATTATTCAAAACTTCGAATCTCAATGAAGTATCTTTAGTGAATGGTAGTTTAAACCCTGAAATAAAAGTCATAAAGAATTTTCATATGAAATAAACCTGAAAATATGTTCAATATTGCCCATGAAAAAACAAAACTATCACCTCGTCACTTTAAAGGGTAAAACTCACTAAGTGACATTTTGAGGCAAAATGACTTTTCTCAACAAGCACACTTTTTATTGCATGTTCTACCTACAGAAAACAAAATAATCAAGTGTTAATTCCACTTAGTTTCGTAGAACTGTATTAGTAAAAATAACCAAGTGCAAATTTGTGAACAATCATCTGAGAAGCAAAACTGAAAATGCACTTGATTAGATTTACCTATACCAGCTACTTTAGCAGCCTGGCAACATAGTACATAGAAGAAATGCGTTAAGTACTTATTCAGTTTCAACTGTTGAAACACGTGTTACGATATTTTACTTGAGTGGGTTATTTCACAAGGGGAATTGTTTTTATTAAAACATTTTATTCATAGTACGGTGTAAAATGAGTGAAAGAACTCAATTAATAATCAAAAATGCCCTAGAATTATGCGAACGAGCAGAAGTGGAACAAAAAATATACGTAAGTACCTTTTACCTTCAGTTAAACTTCTTTATTAAAAGTAAAATCATATAAGTAAGAACTGATATGTTCATAATATTTATGCAATATTTGCATAATTGAGAAAATGATAATAATTGTCAATCAAGTTGAAAAGGCAAACGAAGCTTTACATAATACAGAACCGGGTAGAAATTATAGTGATGGTGATGAAGACTTTGTTGGACTAGAACCTGTAACTTGCCTTTTGTGTAAAGTAAGTAATATGGTAAATAAATGGGAGGTACAACCACATTTTCAATCTCTTGGTAATAAAGTATTTACATCTTTTACGTTTTGTCTTCAATTAAGGATCACGATATCTCCGATTCCGATGAAATAGAAGTAACATCGGTGTCAACACGCTGGAGAAAATGAAATCCATCAAACTGGCAGGCCAACATAACGAAACAATGAAGATCAATGTGTTTACCGTATAAGAACAAAAAAAAGTTTGTAATGCTAAACTTCCTAAACAAATAAATTGCACGACCTGCCCGTTCCACTGTACTAGCAATTTCACTGAACAGGAGGACCGTATAGACACTTATAAAACATACTGGGGTCTGGGAAGTAATAAGCAACGAAGAGATTTTATTATTGCAAATGTGCAATGTCTTGAGCCAAAACGTAGGAGAGTTGATGAAGATAGTGCATCTGCTCGAAGAGTGTCAAAAGTATATTATTTGGAAAATGCAAGAGGTCGTTTCAAAACTTGTGGTAATTTTTTCTGGAAAACACTTTGTATTTCAAAAGGCCCTATTGAAACTGCTATCAAGGGTAAAGATTCCGCTGGGACAGAAGAGGCATGAAAACACGCGGCAATAAGACGTCGGCAGTGGAGTGCGACTCCATGAACTCGGCTCTAGAGAATGCTAAAAAAAATGAATCGGCGTTTATTATGAATAACTGGATTAACTTTTTTAAGCGAAGTCGTTCAAGCAGAACAAGCAGAACAACCTACAGACAAATGCTGAACCAAATGTGTCGTACCAGATACATGAATTAAAATATGAGGATTTTAAGGATCTGCAAGTCTTCGCTAAGCAGCTAATGAAAAATCGAAATCTCGATGAAAATGGTGCCAGTATGCCTCAGAATATCGAAAAATTGATATCCGCGGTAAAACCCGACTATGAAAAGATATCTCTAGTGTCCTTTGACTTGAACCAGCTTATAGTCAACTGCTTCCAATAAGCAAACAGAAGAAAGAGGACATTTTAAAGCTGTGCCGCAAAGGTTTAATACCAGAAGAGGTGCACCACTGGTTGAATATCTACCACTAACTGTACCGTTTGCTGGAACCTGATGTAGAAGAAGATGAAAATAACGAATAATGAATAGTTACAATTATAGTTTCGAATTTTATCCCAAAATAGCAATAAAAGTTTTTTTTTTAATGATTTATGAGACATTATCACTTAGTGGGTAGCTTAACTAGTTGGAAAGGGTAGCACAATGAAGTATTATCGAAAAAACATCAGGAATATCAGACGCAAGTTAAAGTAGATAAGTGAAATTTATTATTCATATTTTATTAATTATCATTTATTTCAAAAATCAGTTATTGTACTTAGTGAGTTTTACTTTCAAAGTGAGGACCTGTATCATAGGTAAACAAACTTTACTTTATTCAGTAAAACTGATATACTCTTCTGAATATATGAATGACTGAACTTTAAAATTTTCATTAAATGGTCCTACTATTGTTATCTCTCAAACGGTAAGACGTACAAAGTTGGTTGGATTGGACAAACGTTTCCTATTTTGGGGAACTAGAATAATCTTTTTTCAGATCTAGAATATCAGTGATTGTTTTTGAAATATTCTCTAAATCTAGGATTGTCTTGATTTCGTTTTTTGAGTATACCACTTCCATTTGGAATGATATGAAAAACACAGAGAAACTTTCAATATTGTTTCATATTTGTTATAATCTGATATAAACCAATTTGCAATACTATGTTTCATTCATTAGATTTCATCAACCTTTTTTTAATGAAATACCTCATATCTATTGAGAATGTATTTGTGGAATATATGAAAAAGTCATCAACAATAAGCAATAAGAATTCAATGCTGGAACAACAAGTAGACTCGAACAATTTCAAAAATTTGAAATCCCCAGCAGATGGATGTTCAATCAATCGTTTGGAGCTAGGCAAAAATTTATTCTAAAATTAATGAAATCAGAAGAATAAATGAAGAATAAAGAAGTATTTATTTCAGAAATTGGTTACCTTGTATACAATACATGAAAACATATTCAATAATTTCAAAAATAATATTTATTAGTTTTACTGTTGTGTTCTATTATTGTACAAATTATATTTACTAGTTCTACTGAGTAGTACAAATCCTATTTTATACTCGAACAATTCAAATATTTCTCAATTAAAAATAACATACAAAACATAAATTTATAATAAAAGGTAAAACTGGAACCTCTGGCCTAGAATTGGCGTCATCATCTTCTGAAGACGCTGATTCGGTTGATTAAACGCGGGTCGAGAAGATAATTGCATTTCTGATGATTCGGAAAAGTGCTTGTTTTGGATAAATTTGTAACATTATTTAAAATAATTGGATTGTTACTTTTATATATTTTTAGATTTTTTTTTAAGATATTCAGTGATGAGTAATTCTATACGTCATCTAATTTAGAAGCCTTTAAAAAATATTGAATTCATATTCCTTTTGAGATATGTTCTGACAATATAATAATTGCCATCATAGCGAATATAGTGTTCATGGATAGGTGACTATTTGCTTGAAATAAGAAGGAGACAAATTATTTATTTTTCATGAATAAATATCACTGTGAAGTACAGCAATCTTTGCAATACATTGAATTCATATTCCTTTTGAGATATGTTCTGACAATATAATAATTGCCATCATTGCGAATATAGTGTTCATGGATAGGTGACTATTTGCTTGAAATAAGTAGGAGACAAATTATTTATTTCTCATGAATAAATATCACTGTGAAGTACAGCAATCTTTGCAATACAAGCAGCCACTGTAGGTCACCGTAAAGTCTCCTTTGGGTTCTTCTGACCACAAACTCATTTTAGTGTTGGGTGAATTACCGATAAATGTTGGGGAACAATCTAAGCCTCGCAAAGTTTTGCACTATAGATCTGACAAAATTGGTAAGGCTTTCGCAGCTGAGGTTTTTAGTGTTACTATTTTTCGGGTTCGAAAGTCGTGGATTTTTTGAATTTCTTCCTGATGTTTCACTGGCGCGAGTGGCTAGCTTCTGCAGAGGTTTAAACATCCTGGATTAATATCCGATGACTGAATATTATTGTTTCGTGACGCGTATTTATGCTGTGTCAGGTTGTTTGGAGTGCTACTACCTGTACTTGGATTAGGTAATTTGTCAGTAACATTCATTGACTCTTTTCTACCTGCTGTCCTGCTGTTTGCTATCCTTGAACTTCTCAGAATGGGAGTCCATATTCGATTGAGATTCACCGCTTCTTTTTTTCTGTTGAAATTATCCGTGTGTTTGTGGATCTCTGTTGCCTCCCGTACCAGTTGGCTATAGTATCCTTGGTTGGGGGCAATGAGTTCT